AAAGTTTGGATCTTTTAGCTTTCTTAGATGAGATTATTAGTGCTAATAGCTTTACCATTCCTATAACGTTTCTGCTGTTTTGGAATACATAAATTGTGATATTAGAGTAAGGTAGATTATGGTCAATAGTACATTGGCTAGATCAGTTAATTACTGACTTTTCTGGTAAGTATTGAGCAAAATTGAAATAAAGAAGGCTACGAAATTTGGATGAAGTATGAAATTCCTTGAAGCAACGTCAGGAATTTACTCACCATAAGTATCATGTTCAGAATCTTGACGACTGTAGTGGTTGAGTACATAAATTCTCGGTACTATATTGAGTCCTTAGTCACGTGTCAGTACCTATCATATCATGTTTTAAATTGGGTAACAATACTCCGTTGACACGTATCTCCACAAATATTTTGACAACCACTATTAGTCACCCAGTATATATACTTAATAACGAGTTATATGTGAAGTTTATTAGGCGTTCCAGGGTCATTGGCTCATGAAAAAGCTGTTTAGTTCAGCTTGCACTCGGACGGTACAGAATTTGACAGCTGCAAGACGGAAGATATTCTTCCGCCTATTATTTAGAATATAAGTCGTTCGTTGCCTCAAAGGGTTGTCTCTTAGAAGTAGTGATGTAAAACGATCTCTATTACATCTCTTCTCTAAACATAGAAACCTCAGAAGTTTGATAGTGTCCTAGATGGGTGTCTTTTGCTTTCTTATGAAAGTTTGTACACTATAGGCTCACATTTTATATAATTAGCTACCTCCTTCAGTATGGGCTCCATGGCGTCAATTAATATTACATCCTTCCTCTTTGCGGAAAAGGTTGAAAAATCCTTCGTACTGACAAATAGGATCATGCCAAAAAATTCTATGTAACTTTAGATACAGATTTTCAGGACAGATCAATGTTATGAAACAATAGACTTTGAGAATCTGAGATACGCAACTTTCCAAATTAAATGGTTGCATTTTTCTTAGTTAAGGCTGAAGTATATCTTGGTGTTAAGAGATTCCTGATTCTGTTTTCTTTACTGCTCAGCTTTTAAAATCCCCCATCCGTACAACCATTTGTTGAATGCACTGTAGTTTCTAAGGTCCCCCAACAGGTGATACTACGTCATATTTTGGATGATGAGATAAAAGTGCACCAATCAATTCACATTCTGTGAAGTACTAATAACTTTTGTTTCCGTAATTCTAAGCTCATTTAAAATTTTTCATATGGCGAGAGCCACGTATTTATCTGAAATCATTGGATTTTTACTAGATCAACCGAGTGACTAAGTTAATAGCATGATGCACAACCAGAAGTTAGTTGCAAAGCTGCGCTTTTAATCTGCCTACTTTCGATCGACACTAATTGCCACAGTTGGCATTTTATGTGTCAAATCGATTGGGTAATTTAAGTTTCCAGAAAAACCCAGGCGAGTTACATTACTTTGCTAGACGATTGACTCGCTTTACGATACTTTTTAACACGTATATATTTCCACTTAGACTAGCCATAAATATTTCCCGTAAATTACTAGCAAAACCGTTTGTTGAATAAGATATATAATTCCTTCCCTTTTTCGTGACTTAATTAACTTTGGAATCTTCGTAAGGGAAGTTTTAAAGAAGCCGGATAGGTCGGCTGACTTGCGTCTGTGCCTGTAGTAAGTATTCAATGTAATATTTATTCAGACATACAACTATAACTGATTTCTGTGTCCTCGTATACTGTTTATTCAGAAATATTGTTTTTTTGCCAGAATAATTTTGCTGGACAGCCTTGCACGATAATACAATAATTAAACTACTTCTGTTCTTATCATTTGGAAATAACTGATCAAAATCTTCAAATTACCTGCAATTGAACTAAACATCAGCATCCATAATGTGTGTGCAGTATTTCGTGTTGACTATTTCCACAATACCTTATGAACTACAGTTAGTTAAGTCTAATTAAGAAAATGAAATCAAGGATCTTAAAGGCAGTCAAAGCAGAAGTAACGAATGAAGGGGATGAATTCGAGAGTGCTTTATCGAAATTAGACTGCATAATGGAGACATGTTTAATGTCCGTACAGACCATTCACATTCATTATGTTCATTTATAAATCCATGTTATGAATGACGTAAGATGTAAGTACATGTTTTTAGCAAAAAAATGTAAATTTGATGGAAAAAGAAAACCATCGAGCAAAAGACTAACCAAATTTGAATTACAAGTGACGGTTAAGATCACAGTCCTTTAGTTGTCGATAAACGTTTTTGTGTTTCCTTACAATTTGATGAATATGTTGTTAAATCGATCAATATGATTCACAGTCATCTGTGTTTTGTTTCACGGATGGTTTTTGATCCGTGGAGCCAAAGAAATTCCTCACAAAATCTTTCAGGAATGAAGTGTAAGTCGCTCTGTTTATACACTTAATTTGTACGAAAAAATACATCTTTGATCGACACAATATTTTAACTTTCAAAAAACAAAAGAAATAATTAAGTTCAATCAAACTAAACATTGTATCAGTCAGCTACAATGTAGGACCAGACACATGTGTGCATCGGTCCAAGTTGCCATACCTCGTTAGCACAAAAAGATGAACACCCGATTCATAGAAGTAGTTAACTCGATGGTAATAATATATAAAAGGAAGACTGCATATAAGGACATAGTACAGGAAGAAAGAATTAGTTCGTAGAAAGAAAGATATAAAGCGATATTAATCTCATAGTTTAAGGAAAGACAAAAAGTATACACACACTTACCCGGTGATCCCAACAGATCCCAGCAATATTTCTAAGACATCTGTGATCAAAAAGTAGTGGCTTACGAGTATCTTCTACTCTTAATTGCCACGTTTCGCAACCTTAAAGTAGGACAAAACGAACTACCGCGCAATATACTCGTCCCTTAATTGATAGACGGATATCTCACCTTCTCCATAGATGACGTAAATTGTCAAAAGCTAAACGAGCTTTTCGAATCCGTGCTGAGATTTTGTCAGACACTAACCCATCAGGGCTGATCAGACTTTCAAGATAAGTGAAGTAGTCAACGCGTTCGACTACCACACTCCCTACCCTAAGTTCAGGTGCTGACGCAGGCCAGTCCTGAAACATATCCCAAATATCCTGGCATTGTTGCTCAGTGCTACCAAAAGACTCTGCATTTTATCAGCGTCTTCACAGAACAGGACTATGTCATCTGCGTATTCTAAGTCAATAAGTGGACCTCCTGGTAGGAGATCAATGTTCGAAAATTCAATCGATTAGACCGCTATTTTCATCAGTAGACCTATGATGAAGTTAAATGAAAATAGAGAAAGTGGGTAACCTTGACGGACACCACTTGAGGTTGCAAAAGCAAATGACAGTTCACCATAAGCTCTGATTCGACTATTAGTGTTCGAGTAAAGAGCCTTCACAAGGTTTATATACTTCTGAGGTACGCCTTTCAATGACAGACACTGCCACAGAATCTTGCGGTTTACAGAGTCAAATGCTGCTTTTAAGTCAAGACAAACCACTAATGTATCAGATCGATAATAAAACAGAAATGCCTATTAATTATTATCAGTTTTTCTGAAATCATATCAAAATAGACTACCATTTATGTTTAATAATAATAATAATGAAAATGGAAAAAAAGATACTGAATCACACGTTTGGATTTAAGTATCTAGTCATAAAAGGTGGGTACATTGACAATAATTAGTAATTTAATTGATTTTGTGTAAAGAGATTACTGAAAAAAAAGCTAAACTTTATAATGAACAATAAATATAATCGTGAACTTCTTCTGGTGAGTAAGTGATGTTATGTTTTTTTTTTGTTTCTATGTTACATTATGTACAATTTTCCATAATTGAATATTGAATAAAACAATTCATTATTCTAGTTAATTTTTCTTAATTTTATTTGAATTTGTACACATTTTTTTTTCATGCTCAAATCAAGAAACCTTATATATAAGTTTACATTATAATAAATTATGGTAATATTATAGGATTGATCCGTCAGTATAGAAAGATATATAATATGGAATATGTAGTGGGACGGTTCACTTTCACATAGGATAGATTGTATGAATGTAAATTTAATGAATTAACACTGGTATACATTATAATGTTAATGTATATGTATATTAGTAAAGATTTTAGAAATTAAACATGAATAAACTTATGTTTTGATATTACAAGATTGTTAGAAGGAATAATATAAATTATTAATGAAATTAAAGTGTTATATATATGTAATGATAATTATTGTTATTATTTGAAAAATTGATATGATATATAGTAATGGTTGTTGTTGATGTTTATTTTATTGATAATTGGCAAAAATATTACTTGTATCAGAAATATGAATAGTATTGATATATTTTGTATCTAAGGGAATATATTTTAAATATTGATTGTAATAACATGAATAACAACAAAGAGTTGAACTTATATGGTTATTTGTATATGACAGTGAACAAGTAAAAATAGTATTGTGAAAGAATAATAATATGACTATTAATACTTGTTATTTTCGTAGTAAAAGTAGTAGTGTGGTGCGTGCTACTTATATCGACATGAGTAGTATATGACGTTAATCGTAAACAGAATGTCTGGCAGTAGAGAGACAAGAGGATTGAACAGTAAAGAATGGGAACAGAATACAATTTGAATGAAAATGCAAGAACAATGAAGTCTGAGTCATTTTGAGACAATTGATGTACATTTTGCAAATTATGCATGTACTTTATGATTGTTAGATTTTATTAACATGTCCCCCACTTGTGTTCTGTTCACTACAGTAGTAATTGTGCCAGTAACAGTAGTACACAGTGTCTGTAATGTATTTAAATATTGTTGAGTTAATGGATTGATGGTTAACTTCTTAAATTTTGAAACTTCATTGGAATTAACTCCTTCATACATTACAGTCTTAATAGAATTCATTAGTGATTGATTCAAACTATTGTTTTTCTTTTCTATTTCACAATTAATATTATTATTTATTAAGTATCAATCATTTGACTTATGGTTAATATCATAAGCTAACATAATATTAGGTTTGTAGAAATCTTGATTTGAATTGTTTATTGATAGTGTCGGTATACAATGTTGAACATCAGAATAATTATTTAAACTCAAATGTGATGTAAATGTGGTTAGATTAGGTGACATCATTGGTATAGATTGAATATTATGCATAGAATTGATTGTATTATCCATAATTATCGATGAATAAGTTACATTTGGTAAAGGCAATGTTGTCTGATATACTGTATCTATTTTTGGTAAGACTAAATCTGTTGTACAAACAATATTCAAGTTATTATCAATCATGGTTGTAGAAAATCTTCTTAAAATTGATTGTACAGGATTGATACATATATTACTATTATTATTATTGTTATCGGTAATATTTAAAGATAATAAATCAGTATTTAAATGATTTGATTGATTCACTTTAATAGTTGAAATCGTGAATCAATTGAATCTAGACCACCATGAAAAACCTGGAAGCACTGGACGACCGTTTCGTCCTAGTATGGGACCAGTGGAGTTCAACCAGGTCTGTTGTGAGATATCAACTCACTGAAGATATTGACGTACAGTGGCGTAATTTCGTGGATTTTTTGAAGTTAGATATTAACACGATTGAATGCCGGCTCAGTGGTCTAGAGCTTAAACGCTCGCGCGCGAGAATGATAGGTCCTGAATTCGAATCTCGCTGGAGGCGAGATCGTGGATGCACACTGTTGAAGAGTCCCACAATGGGACGAAACGACCGTCCAGTATTTCCAGGTTTTCCATGGTGATCTAGCTTTAATTGACTCATGATTTCAATTATGGAAATGACTAAAATCTCCACAAAACCCTTTCTGATGATTTATTTTAGTCAATCAATTGGTAAATACTCGTTGATTATTTTCATCACGTTTTATTTCACTTGATTTTAACCAAATCAATAATTCTTCACAATCATCATTTCTAATATTGTTTTCAATACTTCGTAGATTTTCTGGTTTCAATTGGATACTTGAATAATTGTTACTACAATTATTATTATTATTATTATTATTATTATTAATATTTAAATCATTTATCATAAGATTTTGTTTAATCTCAGATATACCTGATATCATATTCATCTTGTATAAGTCTTCCAATAATAAATGAATAGTTTCCATTGTTGAATTAGTCAATCTTTTTTTGAAAAATAAAGAAGAAAGGAAATCAATCGGAAATCCATTTATTATATAATGAAAGCCTAGTAAGTAGAAACATACAACCTGAATAATAATAATAATAGTAATAATAATAGTAGTAATAATAATAGTAATAATAATAATAGTAGTAATAATAATAGTACATCTTAAATTTCTTTTAAAGGTTATGATAGGCCGATAAATAAGTTATAAACTTAAAATCCTACACATGAACAAATAAAATGTCCCAAATAATAATAATAATGGGTCAATCGATCAATTAATACATATATTACTATTTACAAGGATAAAATAAACAATAATATTACAGAGTTAAATGAAAAATGGCGTAATAACTAAATTTTACTCAGTAACCAGATTCAATTTAACGATCACAAACTCTCAAGAATAAGGCCTATTATTGTATATATCAGACTGAGATTACCTGAGATATTTTCGCTCTTAGTCACATCTCTCTCTCTCTGTCTCTGTATAGTCAACAGACAAGTGCTGAGTATTGAAGTGTAATTTTTAATATAGATTTTATTTCAGGACCTAGTGTTTATTGTATTTGAGTTTTATAGATCTGGTTAGTGAATTGCACTACACTGAACATGTTCATAGTAAACAGTTGTAGATAATTCATGTCGATTGAAATGAATTTCATTTCTTAAGACCATCATGAATTTAGGCAATAAATATGATGTATAGTGTAGAAAATTTTGACAATGAGCTATTACAAAAATATAATCTAATATTCTCTGTACAACAACCATAAGAAGTATATTCTAACTTCATCATTGTAAACTTGATCACAGAATATTATTGTGTCGCTCAATTTCGTGGATTAGTTGAATTTAGACATTAACACCGTTGGATGCCGGCCGGCTCAGTGGTCTAGTGGTTAAGTGCTCGCGCGCGAGACCAGTAGGTCCTGGGTTCGAATCTCGCAGGGGGCGAGGTCGTGGATGCGCACTGCTGAGGAGTCCCATTATGGGACGAAACGGCCGTCCAGTGCTTCCAGGTTTTCCATGGTGGTCTAGCTTCAACTGACTCATGATATTAATCATTGAAATTACTACAATCTCCACAAAGCCCCTTCTGACAAAACTATATGTTATTAAAATGTTTGATCATTTCACCGAATCAGTATTCAGCGTGCTTTAATTTTGAAAAAAATTATAAAATTTGTTCAGTTCAGTTGTATGCTAATTTAAATTTTTAATGTGAGTCTAAATGATCTTACGAGGATTTGATTCATTTTGTTTTTCTTTCTATTTTCTTTACCTTGTAGACTGTATACCTCTCTATTCGTAAGATAGCAAGCTCTAGTTGATTACCCATCAACCAAATGAGGCGGTTCCCTACAGTGGGTTAGATAAATGTGATATGATGACATGGAGTTCAAATGAAAGTGGCACGAGTAAACTTGACAACTAAAATAGAATGAATTGATATGTACTCCAATTTAAATCTAAAAAACAAGCACGTGTAATGTATGCTACTTATGTTGACAATATATAAGTAGTAAGTTTCCACAATATCACAGTCTGTTTCGAACAGCGATGCTAAAGATCGTGAAAACAGTCTATGGTTCTGTATGTCTGAAGCTATAACCATTGTCGTAATGCAATTCATGTGTGCGACTCAGGGGAAGAGAATCGTATGTATTGCCACGAGTTTAACTTTCAAGTCTGTCATAGTGTCATCAGCATAACCATGCTAGTTAATTTTCATGCATCGCAGGTAATGAAGAAACTTACAAGTATAACAGAGACAGAACACTGCTTTACCAGTAAGTGGCAGTGGATGGATTAATAAAAGCTATGTCAGTAGCCTTCCGATTTATAATTAAGAAAACTACTGACCTGAAATGAAGGTTTTTAGCATTTTTCCGACAGTGTTTTGTCCAGGACCCTGATATCACGAGCATCAAACCAATCCTCTATCTGCCAACTTTCCGGAAATTCACCAAGTTTCACTGAAAATTAACGTCATACACGGCGTTCTGAAGCTAGCAAGCTTTTCATATTAAATGAACATGCTTTCCTTAGGACATACCAACCAGTATGTTTCACATATTTCTGCAATCAACGCCAAAAAACATGGAGCAGTATGAACGTATTTAGTTCGTTAATACTATTCCTTGATTTAACTTACATCTTAATGCAATTCAGTTGAAAATTCCCTTTGTCCGTTTCTTGAAAAGAACCTATGGGCGTACAATGAGAAATGGACTCGATCGTTTGCGCTACAGGATCGCCTACTTCCGCAGTTTAATATCGATTTCCTTAAAGCTGCAAACAATGTTGTGGGTATAAGCAATTTAGATTGACAGTGTCATTTGCATCAGTGAAGTGGTTACTAGATTCACAGTCTCACGATTTGGTCATGAAGGGTCTTTGGGTACAAATATAACGGGATTGTAGTAGCAAATATTTTCTGGAAATCAATAGTGAAATGAGTATTCGATGTGGGGATGACCTCATCAGTTTTAACCAGTTGGACTAACTGAAGGCGCATGGGTAAGCATCCACGCCGTCTCTTGGTACAACTCACGTAAGATTCCTCTTCAAGCCTAGTGACTTCGAATGAAGTTTGCATAAAAACGACATAAATGCTTAGTCATACGTTTAATCTAATGGAACTAAAGAGGTCAAAATCAATGTTGAATACATACTGCACTATCGAATCGAAGGAATTACCAACATTTACAATTGGTTTCTCCCTCAGCGTCGCAACAACAACACGCAACAGTGGTTTCATCTAGGAAAATTCGCTAATTACATGACAGGAGAGCAAAATAATCAATAGAAACCAACGAAAATGGACTAACAAAGCAAACTGTGGTAACTTTTGACGGTCGTCACATAAAAATCCAGAAATAGTAATTAGGAATATAATAAGATATCAAGTTTTATCAATGTTTTTTCGGGAAGATTTCTTGAATGAACTGATGAATATGAATGTTAAATACAAGTATCAATGGAGTTAAATTCTCTAAGGACCTATACACTAATGCAAATAGATCTTTTAAGACTTGTAGTTCTAAATGGACACAAATAACCGACCTTATGAACCTTTATCGGCTGAATGGACTAGGAAGTATAACGTATGTCGAATCCCACTTACCTCGACACACGATGTTTGCTGGCGTGAGAATAAGTTGAAACCAAGGCGTAGCAAGAATCCAAAAAGTTATCGACCCTTGATATAACACACGTTGGTAGACGTTGATGAATTGCTTGAGGCTTGCGCAATTATCGTTACCAATAGTCACAGACACTGAATAGATTAGCTTGGAATCGGTTGCAATGGCGCAGGCTTGTTTGAAAAAAACCTAATTTTTATTCTGTAAGGAATGAGAACTCAGATGGGAACAACCAATAAGAAATTACAGAATATCTAGGAAAATGAGAGAATCGTACGCCGAATACTTCATTTGCAAATTTCCATCATTTGTTCTCCACATTCTGTATAATTATTCCAGCCCACAATTCCTTTCTAATTTCCCTTCTGCTGCCAAGTTTTCCACTTCCGATTGGTGTTACATACTATTTATGTCTGCGACATAAGTAGCATACACCATAATTATACTACTGTCATATTGATTTTGATAACTTCGCCTCACTATGTTGGACAATATAGTGTAGTAATCTGACATGATGAATATATTTACTATGTCTTATGCTGCTTATGACTGATTAATATTACTTCTTGAAGTAATCTCTGATAAGAAATCATTGAACTATGTTAGCCCATTAAAACAAATTTACTTAGTAGGCTTGAAATATAGCCACAAAAGTAAATGTATGAAGTTAATACACATTTACTAACTAAATCCAACTCTCTGTATTAAGGTAATTAGCTACACAAATATTATATAAGTTATATGTCATCAACTGCTCTCAATTAGAGAGCCATCGTACTCAGCCAGCACTAGACAGCTAGTTTGTCCAAGTATGGGTCTCCAGTAGTGTGCACTCACGATTCAAGAAAAGATCGAACCCGAGAACTTCAGGTGTCGTAGCGAACTATTGATCAGTAGAACCAGTAGATTGAAAACTAATTTCCACAAAACCCTTTCAACTAAACATATTTTGAGTCAAAGTTTGTCAAATTAAATCACTAAGA